CCCAAGCACTTTCGTGTATATATGTATATATGTATATATATATATAATGTAGATCCACAATGAAAATGTGGATCAGATAAATCTTGATAAAATCACACAGGGAAAAGGGGAAAGGCTCCATTGTTTCCCTTTTTCCTGTGATTTTATCAAGATATACAGGTACTCCTCGACTTACGACCTACTCGACTTACGACCACCCGGACATATGACTGCCCCAGTCGTACCAAAATTTTTTCAAATTACGTATTTTCGAGTCCCAACGTTAGTGATTGCGCTGTGTACTGACAAAATTTTCGTTTGTAATTCCTTTTAAATGGCTGGCAAGTGTTACAGTAAGAGTTCTTGTGGTGCTGAGAAGAAAAAGAGACACCCATTTTAGATTTTCTATGTACTGTATTATTATTTTTGCATTTTCGACTTACGACCTGGATTTGGGTCCCTAACCCCTTCGTAAATCGAGGAGTGGCTGCATATACGGTACAGTGGTCCCTCGGTTAACGAACACAATTCGTTCCGGAAGGTTGTTCGTTAACCGAAACCATTGTTTCAATGGGTTTTTGGTTAATTGGTTCCAGCTCACCGAAAATTACCTAAAGTAAAAAAAAAAAAAAATGCAGTAAAATACACTTACTTTGAGGTGTGTATGTAGAAGGCTCCTGGATGATGATGCTGATGTGAATTTGAAGTGGGAGGTGGAGGAGGAGAAGGGAGAAGAGAAGGAAGTGAGGATGGAGGAGAAGCATTTTACTGCTTCTTGGAAGGTGAGTCACCTTCCATGAAAATGTCAAGAACCTCTGGACTGACAGATTCTCCAGCAGGAACATCCTCTCTCCTTCTTGAAGTGGAAGGCTGAGGGGTAGCATCTGTTTCCCGATGCCTTTTAGTGAAGAAACTGGCAATTTTTGTTTGTGGGGCATTTCTCCTCGTCATCATTAACTGATTTTTGAAGAAGGAGACCACTCTGTCCTCAGCATTACACGAAATAGGTTCTGTTGTTTCCACATCATGGTGCCTTGTAGCCAGTTTCCTGAACTTCTCCCAGTGGTGAACAACATCCTTCAAATCTGAAGTAGACATATGGTCGTCACTTTCCCTTTCCTCTTCACCATTGTCAGCCTCTAACATCTCATCCAGTTGCTGCAAGTCATCAGGAGTAAGTTCCTGCTCATGAGACATCACAAGCTCTTCCACATGCCTCCACTGACCAATGGACACAATCTCCTGGTCCAACTCTGCTTCGTCCTCAAATCCCTCAAAATCATGGACTGCTGATGGCCACAGTGCTTTCCATGCAGAATTGAGGGATCTAATGGAGACTTCTCGCCATGAGGACACAATCAATTTTACAGCCTCCAGGATGTTAAATTGTGTCTTCCAGAACTGTGCCAGTGTTAGTTCAGGGTCAGTGGAAGTTGCCTGATAACACCTCCTGAACATTATCTTCATGTACAACTTCTTGAAGTTGCTGATCACATTCTGGTCCATTGGCTGCATGATTGAAGTAGTGTTGGGAGGCAAAAACAACACTTTGACAAAGTCAAATTGAGCCTCCAAAGTGCTGGCAAGTTCAGGGTCATGACCAGGGGCATTATCCATAAGGAGAAGAGCCTTTAAAGGGAGTTTCTTGGTGGTTAGGTAGCTTTTCACAGAAGGGCAAAACACCTCAACAGCCCATTCATTAAAGAGCTGTCTTGTCACCCATGCCTTACAGTTGGACTTCCAATAAACTCCAAGCTGTCCTCTTTCCACTTTTTGTTGCTTGAACACCCTGGGGTTCTCAGAGTGGTAGACAAGCATAGGCTTCAGTCGGAAATCCCCTGAAGCATTGGCACCAAGCAATAGAGTGAGACGGTCTTTCATGGGTTTATGCCCAGGTAAAGAGGCTTCATCTCTGGTGATGAATGTCCTTTTGGGTATTTTCTTCCAGAACAGCCCAGGTTCGTCCACATTGAACACTTGCTGTGGAAGATAATTTTCTTCATTCACCAGTTTCTTAAACTCCACTACAAACTTTGCTGCTCCTTCTTTATCTGCACTGGCAGCCTCACCATGCCTAATAACACTGAAAATGTCACTTCTTTTCTTAAATTTTTCAAACCAGCCCTTGCTTGCCCGAAAATCTTCGAACTCTGTGCCAGAAGAACCAGGTTGATCTTTCTTTAAATGTTTGTAAATCTCCCTGGCTTTTTCACAAATAAATTCTGTAGAAACTGAATCACCTTTCATTTGTTTTTCCCTGATCCAAATGAGAAGTAACCTCTCTGTTTCTGCTATCAATGATCTACCTTTAAACAGTCTGGTAGATTTGTCTCTCACTTTCACTTCCTTGAACTTGTCTTTCTCACTTTCACTTCCTTGAACTTGTCTTTCTGTGCAAGAATTGTCGACACAGTTGATGCCGACATGCCATAGTCTTTACTAAGCACATTTGTTCTAATGCCCTGTTCATGTTTCTTTATTATTTCCTGTTTTACCTGGATTGAAATAACTTTTCTCGATTTCTTTGGAGCCGTGCTGGATTCGATTTCAACACTGAAATTTTAAGTTTTATTGCTGTAAATAAAGAATATTTTCTTTAAATCAACACTGCACTGTGCTATACATTATCAATATGTAAAATATATTTCAAAATGACCAATAATTTGACTGTAAAAATGGAAAAAAGAGTTTATGTTTAAGAGAGTCTCAAACAAGATGTTCCCTCCACTGAACAGATACACAAACTGACGCCAAGCTTGGTATGTTGAGTGGCTGTTTGGCGTGCTAAAAACTAGTTTCCTGAACTTCAATTAGTTCAATAATTGTTAAAATAACTAAAAAATTTAATATAAAACTTTTAAAATTATTGAATAGTACAACCTTCTTGATATTTACTCAAATGGTAACGAATTTAAGCCCTAGAACCGATAACTATTGGCGGACTAATACTACAGCTGGTGAGCAGGCGAAAACATGTTGGGAAAAATTCGTAAACCGAAGTGAAGATTCTTATGGAAGGTAATTCGTTAACCGAACTTCGTTAACCGAGGGACCACTGTATATATATATATATATATATATATATATATATATATATATATATATATATATATATATATATATATATATATACAGATAGACCCCGACTTACGACGGGGTTAGGGACCCAAATCCAGGTCGTAAGTTCGACATGGCCGTAAGTCCGACATAGATAATTTTTTTTAAATAAATAATCTACAATGAAATACAGTACAGTAAAAGTAATGAATAATGAGGAATGGATACAGTACAGTGAAAGTAATAAATAATAAGGAATGGTTACAGTGTGACTGAGCACTTACCTTTAATGTAGCCAGCTGAATGCACATGGGGCCCCCATAATTTTCTAATTATACATGGAGACTACATTAACTGGAAACGTTTCGGTATAGAAAATGCGTGTCATTTGAAGAAAAAAAAAAATTTTTTTTAATAAAAAATCTGAGGCGGTCGTAAGTCCCGACGGTCGTAAGTCGAAGCAGTCGTAAGTCGGGGTCTGTCTGTATATATAGTGTATATATATATATATATATATACAGTATATATATATATAGTGTATATATACTGTATATATTTATTTATTTGTTTGTTTTTCTTTTTAACAGGAGAAGGAAAAACTGCTGCTCATGAGTGGAACAAGTGAGGCAGGTAAAGCAGAATACCAGCGATGGATTGTCCACGATACACGCAGCATTGTTCACATTCTGGAAGACATGCCATCTTGTAAACCACCTCTTGACTACCTTTGTGAATTACTTCCCAGACTTCAAGCAAGATACTACTCCATATCTTCATCTGGAAAGGTAGGGTAATATGTTTGCCTGTCCATGTTTTGAATGACACTGATACTAGTATTTTGGGTTCTGTAGGTTCTCATATCTGGTGAAGTTTAGTTAGTTTCTCTCTTCCTTCCTAAAGAATTATTTTTAATTCTTGAAAAATTTATACTTTTATGTTGTGAGTTAAATAGGTTTTATGTACAGGTATCCCTCATTTAATGATGGGGTTAAGTCCTGAAAACCTAACTTTTAGTGAAATTATCACAAAATGAGAGATAACAGAAAAGTTCGAAGGGGGAACAACAGTTTCAAACGATAGGGAAGTAAACACGGAGCACAGTACTGTATACCCTAATAATAATACAGTAATAATAAATGAATTTGTTTTAAACGGGTTTGAAGTTAAACGATTGATCTATCAACACCAAACTTTTATATAACCACTGTGGTTCAGAGTTAAACAATTAAATGAGGACAAGTTTAGCTTAATTTGTATAACAATAAAATTTATACAAAACATTTCATGAAATACAGTTGCGCATGTTTTATGTATAAAAAATAGTTTCTTCCACACTCAAACCATCCTCTGGGCAATGCAATACAGTTCAGCCAGGCAGTCACCCAGCTGTATGGTGATTGAGTAGAGGAACTGGGGTGTTCCACATACCTGGGAGTGGATGAGTCAGCAAAGAGATTGATGAATAGGTTGAGAAATGTATTAAGAGAGATAACCAGTGCAGAAGAAATAAAGTTGGAATATCCAGGAGACTTAAGCTGACATTGTAATGTTGGTATGATGCATGGTTTCTGGATGCAAGAGCAAGGGGCACATTATAAACAACAGAAATTATTTGCTTGAAAGCAGGATGTAAAGTCTAGTAATGCAGAGAATAAGAAATACAGATATTTGGAGATGGAGTAGATGGCATAGATATATGCGAGAATGAGAGGTGAAAATTTGGAAGAAAACATTTTATACACTATTGTATAATTTAGAAGTGGGGAGTAATAAAGAGAATGGAAGATCAAGAAGGATATGGAAGAATGAAGTGAAGATTGCACTAGATATAGGGGGATAGAGATCCAGGAAGCAGCCGTGTGTGTGTGTGTGTGTGTGTGTGTGTGTGTGTGTGTGTGTGTGAATGAATGGATGGAGAGCATGGCTTCAAGTGATTTTTGGGGAAGCATGGGCTGCTAATGGGTGATGCTGGCTTGTGCGAGGTGTCAGGATTAAACCAAACTTAGTTCCTTATGATGGAATGAGCATACCACTGCATAACACATTTATAACAGAAGTAAAAATACCTGAATGACCACAAATAAAAGGAAGATGTGTGTGTGTATTTCTACATTAAACAAGAAAGAAAGAAGTAATAAATCTTAAATTTTCCCTTGCAGCTCCATCCTAGCAGAATCCATGTGACTGCGAATGTATTGAAGTACATTACACCTACAGGGAGAACAAATAAAGGAGTGTGTACCACACATCTTTACAAGTTAAAGCCTGACAATGGCATTAAGTATTATGTACCAATCTTTGTCAGAAAATCACAGTTCAGGTTAGTTTATTATTTTGTGAAGTGCTTTGTGTGAAACATCAACACTGTTATCTTTTTATTATTGGTTTTTGCTTCTCCAGCTCTTGATATGGCTAGTTCCTTTTTCATTCAAATTTTACCTCTCTCTTTTGTACAGTTTTTGTGTAGCACATGCCTCATTTATTTTTTCCTCTAAATCTTATTGACATTCATATGTTTTTAAGAATTCACTCTCACCATATATTCAAAATACGTATGATTTATATCTTATGCTTGTCATCACATGTACAGCACAGTAATTGGTAAAGGCCCAGTAAAGAGTCTATCAGTATCCGTTGAAAAATAATGCATGAGAAAAGTTTGTAAGTTCCTATGTCCAGTGTATTCATTTAGCCATACTTATGTTGCAGTGCTGAATATACTAATATTAGTATAATAAGTAATAGTACTGTAGTTAATTGCCATTAAAAATTTTCCTTTTACATAAAGGTTACCCAGTAAGCCACAGACTCCAGTGCTGATGATTGGACCAGGTACTGGTATTGCTCCTTTCAGAGGGTTTATCCAAGACAGAAGCCATCAGAAAGAAGAAGGTGATATTTTATATACTGTACTGTATATACCCCGGTTTATATATATAAACCTGATTTTGTGACCTTTGATTTCTTGATTATTGGTTTAACTGACCTAAAGGAGGTTGAATAGTTATGGGCAAAGTCCAGGCAGTTTATCTGACAAAAGCTATAAGCTGCAGAACCACCACTACAATACATGGAAAGTGATTCCAAATGACTAGTAAGTAGAGAAATTTGCTAAATTAGTTATGCAGTTAACCCTCCTACAAAATGGGTAAAGACAATCCTGTACTGTACAACATTGGAGCCATAAAATTTAAATTAAGAGATAAATATTACACCTAAATAAGATTGTAGAAAAAATACTGTATTTATCAGGAAACATATGGCAGGAAGCATTAGGCTGAAAATAGCCTCTGGCTTGGCGCTCACAGCAATTTTGCATAAACATCAAAATATGCAACCAATAACCACTGACTGACTTATAATCTTTAGCCTTTGGGGAATGTTATTCATTAAATGAATATTAATTGTTCATAAAATATTCCTGATTGTCATGCATATCACTTACACAACAGAAGAGAGAAACATCAAAGGTACCATAGGTAAAAGTGAGGTTAATAGCTCTTTGAATAAACAGTGAGAAATGTAGCTGATCAGCATCACTGACATAACATTTATCATATCATATAATTAATAAAACAATAATTTACTGAACTTAACTTGGTTAAGTTATTGCTTCTTAATAATTAAAATTATTTTTGTTATCTAGACTTCCTCCCTTCATCTCTCTTCTTCTCGCTTCTCTCTCTTCCTCTCCCTCCTTCTCCCTTCCTCTCTCTTCTTCTCACTTTGTTCTTCTCTTCTCGTCTTCTTTTCTCATGCTCTCTGTCACTACCAAGATGAGGGAGAGGTACAGTCTCACCCAAAAGTTTAACTCTCCTTGCCAGCTATTGCTGCACTGCCTGCTTCAGATGTTTGAAACTGTCTCAGTACCAACCAGAACATGAAACCAATACGAATGAATCTAAAGGTTCGAATTAACAGACTCAAGTTCATACATCTGAAGCAGGCAGTGCAGCAATAGCTGGCTGGAAGAGTTAATGAACTTTTGGGTGAGACTGTACCACAATCTACCTCAGTCACTACCACTCTGGGGGATATGTACCACACCAGGTGTTACTATTATCATAATTTATTGTCTATTTTTTTTTCTTTGTAAAAAAAAGAAAAGAAAAAAATGCTCCTTTTGCCTCCTCTTCTCTCCTCTCTTTCTTCTCCTCTCTTTCTTTCTTCTCCTTTCTGCCTTTCTTCTCCTTTCTGCCTTTCTTCTCCTTTCTGCCTTTCTTGCTCTGTTTCTTGTGTACATTATATCTGGCGCACCTTTGTTGTTATTCAATGAGCAGTTTGCAGTTGTACATATCATGTCTTGATATTTCACATGTACTGTATAACATATATTGACTGTTTTGTAACTCCTCAGGAAAGCCTGTTGGGGATACCATCCTTTACTTTGGCTGTCGTAATAAGGCCAATGACTTTTTGTATGAAGAGGAGCTAATGGCATATAAAGAATCTGGTCTTTTGAAGGTACAGTAATTTAATTCTCACACACTCTAGTCAGAATTCTCTTGATATTTCAGCATTTTTTCTCTCCAAATAAAACCGTGTTACAGGTAAATCTCACGATACGATATTCCGAGATGCATCTCTACCTTCACTTGTAAGCCTACCCACGCGCCTCCACACGGCCAACCCATATGCTCTACAGCCCTGTGTTTGGTTCTTTGTCGATCGTAAACCCACCATTGCATGACATTGCATGATTATCAGCCAGCATCATACATTGTACTTAGCAACAGTGTTTTATTGTGTTTTATTTCTTCTTATATAGTGAGAGGACCGCACTAACATTTAGATAGAACTGTGTTATGGAAACTGTAAAGTGATATTTCCAGTATTTTTGTGACTGTAGAGTGCGTCGACTCTGTTGTTTTGAAAATATGAGCAGTGTCAGCCGCTATCATTGTTTTTGTTATCGTTGTTCGTTCTGTTTTCGTGACAAGTGCTTTTGCTATGTTTTTGTGACTAAAGTGAGCAGTGTAACTTTGAAAATGTCTGGGAAGGCCAAGGCATCCAAGACATTATTAAACAGCATAGAGACTTCCTAGAGGCTGTGTGAGAGTCAGAGTGACGTCTCCACTCCTCCTACAAGAGTCCCCTTAGCCTCAAAGGGGACACGTGATGATGACCAGGCTTATTCTTCAGGATGTGGTGACTGTTGTTTATTTGAAAATGTTTTGTACTGATAGTAGTATTGTAGGAATTGTTTTGTCGATGATACATGTGTGTTTGAGGACTGGCTGGGAACATATCCCATTGAACCCCATGTTTTAATGCTCCCTGTTTACGATAATTCACCTAGCGATGGGTTTTCAGGAACCTAACCCCATCATATCGCAAGGTTTACCTGTACTATTATATGCAGTCATGTTAAATTTTCTGTCAAACGACTCTTTCAAGCTAGATTACTATTGCTTACAACCCTGTCATTAATTTACTGTTGATTTTTAATATTCTATACAATTACAGCATCCGTCATTTAACAATTGGGATGCGTTCTTGAAAAACCAATTGTTAAAGAAGATGATAGCTAAATGAGGAATATTGAGAAATAAAACCCTAAACGAGGGATAATGCTGAATAATATCTGTGGAGATGGTATGTAGCCGAGTCGCCACCCAGTTGGACTCAAAGTGGGTGAGGCTGAGCTATGAGCAGTGTTATTGTTCACCTCGTATTTTTGAGTAGATATAGTAATACCCTGTACAGTAAGTCCGCACTGAACGTTAATCTTTTGAACGAATCCACACTATAATGAATCAAGTACAGTATTTACTACCCATTTGCAGATTAACCAAAGAATTTTCTACTATTATGAAAGGTACGTCACCCCCACCTTTCTGCTTTCTCACTACCAGCTCCATGATCACCACCATCACCTCTATTATCACCACCTAAATCATAATTTCACCTTCCTCCCTCCCTTCCTCCCTCCCACTGCATCTCACCAACACTGCCTCTCTCACTCATTTTATGACTGTCATTCATGATAGTACAGTATAATATTGTACAATACTGTACAGTGTTTATTTGTTATTCTCTCTCCATAATTTAAAATTTATGTAACATAATGTAGAAGGAATACAACGTTGGCCATTTATACTTACGCTCAATTTTGTGGGTAGACATCCGTTGTTAAATTGTCTGGCAGTCCTGCAGCCAGTGTTACCAACCAAACTGACTGACGCATCATCTGCTCACCACTTACTATCTTCCTCCCGCCCTCCCTCCCTCCCTCTGCATATCACCGACACTCTTTATGTACCTTTAAGTTTTACAAGTTTTATTGTTTTTATCTTCAGCACTGTGTTTTGATGTGTTGCAATTATTTTGTCACAGACCTTAGAAATGTACAGTATATTAATCTATCACAGAGCTTAGTACAGGAACACATCCTCCCCTTATTACATTAATTTATATGGGAAAAATGGTTTCGATGAATGTAATCCACATAACGAAAGCGTTTTAGTGGAACCTAACCCTTTCATTCAATGGGGACTTACTGTATCTCTGTTAGCCGGAATTTTTCCGGAAAATTCTCTAATTCAGGGTTTGTTTATGAGTTTCTCAGGTTAACAATCAGGTGCATTTTCTGAAAAAAAAATCTATCCAAATCACTCCTTTCTGGGCCTGGGAATAAAATTTCCAGGGGTTCCGAGAAATTGCATCATGCTCCAGTGCATCCCCATATGACAGGTAAATGGGTAGACTAGCTGCTTGAATCGCTTAGTTCATGTTGTAGTACTGCCATTGTAAAAGGTTGTTCCTTCGCTAGCTGCTGTTTTTGCGTACAATTTATGTTGTGTACAGGGAGCCTCCCAAATTCGCGAGGGTTAGGTTCTCAAAATGGCCGCGAATCGCCAAATCCGCAAATAACATTTGCTGATTGGGGGTGGGGGGGGTACATTTTTACTTCTGTACAAAGAAATGTATATTCTTTTTATGTGTTTGCCCTTAAGACAATTATTTCTTTTACCTGTAGTACTGTATATGTGTGTGTGTGTGTAGACACACACACACACACACACACAAAATACGTACAAATAAATAATAATTGGAAAATCCTCTCGCAAATAATCAGAAACAGATTTATTAAAAATGTGAGTTTACCCTCAAGTCCCTTCTCTACTAATAAATACTATAATAGAGATCGGACTTAAGATTATTTTCCCATCATTATTTATTTGTAGGTGTTTTGTGTGTGTGTGTGTGTGTGTCTACACAAACACACATATTTACAATACAGGTAAAGGAAATTATTGTCTCTAGAACGAATGGCTCCCTGTCCCAGCCGTGAAAATGCCGGCAACTATAAAACTGCCCACAGACATTCTTGGGTACAACCAGGGTGTCATCCACAAATAACCGAGAACCGCGATGTAAAAATCCGCGAACTTGGGGGCCCCCTGTTCTTTACTGTATCAGAACAAAATCTGCCAAGAATGCAGTGTTGAAGCGGTGTTAAGAATGTAAAAAGTGATTACAGTTACGTAGACTATACTGTACATTCAGTATAGGTCAGGTTAGATCAGTAACATGACCCACTAATCCCTCACCCAATCTCCATCGGAAGTGTTAAGACAAGATTACAGTTAAGTATTACAGTCAGCTGAGTGGACAGTGTATGCCTACTCTAGGTTCAAGATGACAGCATCTGCTGGTGAGTAGAGTATATAGAGCAATGGTCCCCAACCTATAGTCCGCTGGCGTCATGCGCAGAACCATATTATGGAGCTTGCATGAGTTTATTAGAAAGTTTTAAAATATTTGTGAATTTTTGTCAGAGTGAAAATGATGAAAATATGTAATAACTTGATACGACTTTAGTGAGAGAGAGGAACTGCCATTTATCTCGAGTCTGTTGTATACAGGACATGTGTATTTACCCCAGACTGGGCCCAGAGAGAGAGAACCAGCCTGAAAGAGTAAATGTAAAAAGTATGTAACTGGTAACAGGTAGACCTGTGTAAAACTGCAAATAACTGTACAGTAAACCCTCGCACGTCTGGACACTTCAGGGGGAGACGGTGTATGGATGTGGTAAATGTCCGGATGAACCAGGGGACGAATTCACTTTACTTAATCTTATGGGGAAAATTAGAATGTGTTCCACAACTACTAAAAATCAACAGTAATGTTATAAAAGTTGTGGAAAAATCATTACAATACTCTGATGTGGGTGAGAAATGAAGACAATATAATATAAAACTATGAACCAAGACATATGAAGAGCGTGGGTGTTTGTGTTGAAAGTGAAAGTGTGTGGAGTGGCCGACTCACCACTCCAGCCGCGTCCTGTGATGTTACATACAGCGCAGTAGACACACACACGCACTCACTGTGCCACGTTTCTTAGCCATTTCTTGAGCATTAATGCGATAAAAGTTGTATAAAATCATTAAAATACCTTAATGTGGCTTAGAAATAAAGATAATATCATGTAAAACTTTAAAATAAGAAAAAATAAAGAACATGGATGTGTGTGGGTGGAAAGTGAGTTGCCTGATAACTGAGGAGCCCTCCCTCCCTCGGCCTCCAACCCTCCCTCCCTCAATAAGATGTCACATACACACACATTAATATACAGGTAGACCAAAAATACAGTATCATATTTTACGGCAGGGAGTATTTAGGAAAAAAAAAACTTTTTGTGTGTATTTACCTCCTGTAGCCATAGTTTTCTTAAAATAATATATACGGGCACAGTGATAAACAAATTATATAAACCATGCAGTTACCTACGATAACATAATAAGAAACATTGTATCATTACATGCCATCTCCATGGATATTATTCCTTGTTATCCCCCATTTAGGATATTATTTCTCATTATCCCTCATTTAGGATATTATTTCTCATTATCCCTCATTTAGGATATTATTTCTCATTATCCCTCATTTAGCTATCATCGCTTAACATTAGGTTTTTGAGGAACGCATCCCAATTGAGAATAAGCCTTTTACAAGCAGTTTCATTTGTCACCTCATTCTGTATGCATCCATTACTCAGGGCAATTGATAAAAATTATGCCAAAGGTTAAAGAAAGTGATTTGATACTTCCTGGAAGACAGAGAGATTAAATTTAATAAATAGCAATTATTTGTATGTTATTTGTACATTTATAATAATCACACCAGGAGAGCACATACACAAAATGTAAGTACTGTATAGTAGTGGCATACCATGGTTGCACTGGTGAGTCATGCAGAACACCACATATATCAGTTATCAAATCAAATATCAAGTAGGATATGGCCTTTCTCTAAACAAGGGTTGTCAAGCTTTTATAAACACCTAATTTCTTAAATTATATCAGTGGCATCTGACAAAGTATCATTAAATAATGGGTGCAAAAATACTTATGGCAAAAGAATATTAAGCTTTCAGTGTGATCTACAGTAATTTAGAAATAAAGTAGTTAAAAAAATGGCTTGGCATCATGCACAATGCTGGCCCTCTGTAAAGT